TTATAACCCAGACAAAACGAATAATAAATTTACTACTTCTCAATAATTTTCTATCCAGTGACTTCATACCGACGAGTTCAAAAGAAAAAGAAAACAACGAATTAATTGTATACGGTTTGGTCACTCGTTAAGGTCCGCAATCATTTTACCAATGCAAGTGGTTAACCTCTACCACGCACGTTGAGAATTTGTTCGCCCAAAATTGCAATATTATCACAGTTTTAAATATATTGAAGTATAACCCAGGTAAACGATCTATAATATCTATTACTTGTCAATAATTTTCTATCCATTGATGTACCGACGAGTTCAAATAGAAAGCGGCGAATTAATTGTATACGGTTCGGTCACTCGTTATGGTCCGCAATCAGTTGGTTAGTCTCTTGCGCTGGAATGACGTGCCACGCACATCGAGAATTTGTTTCGCCCAAAATTGCAATGTTATCCCAATTTTAAGTATAATTAAGTATAACCCAGGCAAAACGAACAATAAATTTATTACTTCTCAATAATTTTCTATACAGTGATTATCATACCGACGAGTTCAAATAGAAAGCGGCGAATTAATTGTATACGGTTCGGTCACTCGTTATGGTCCGCAATCAATTGCCCAGCGCAAGTGGTTAATAATTATATATCTGCTAGATAATTAGATACAGATATCGTGTTATTCAGTGTAGAGTAAAGTGAGCCTAATCTGATGAAATGCTCGAATTAGTGTACCGTTCTACTTTCAGTTGTTGCAAGTTCATTTTAAACACGAATTTAAGTTAAAGTATTATACACCCTGTGTATCCAATATTTTTTTCCATGGTCACGCCCCCTTATTTGCACAACGACCTATTCTGCAATAATGACCGTGAACGTCACGGTGACAAGTTCTTCTTCGTTCGCTCATTTCAGTCTTGCGCTTCTATCCTCGTAAACTCTCGCAGGCCAGCAATCGTCGTAAATTTATTCCTCATTCTCATCCCGTAACCGAGTTCTCCTGTATATTTCCTACTTTGTTGTCACTTAGCTTCGCGACCTTGCGTCGCAACTATGGTCCATCGATCTTTCTCTCTATTTCTTCGGAGTATCAAACTCAGTTTCGATGAAATCGAATTAAACTTAAATTTGAGCTCTTTAGTCGTGTTTTCACGCATCCACTTGTAGTTTAATTGTATAATTAACGTTGTCCTCTCTCCTCTTTCTCTATAGAATTTCATATTTCTCTGGAAATCCAGTCTGTTACAGACAATAAACCACGCGCCGAGAGATAAAGCTCGTGTGCCACGTTGTAATATTAATTAAAATATAATTCAAATATTAAACGTCTGTATGCCTAATTTAATAGCGGTAATAACCAGAATACCGTGTCATGATAGGCCAACGATGAGTAAGGAATTGCCCACGATAATAATTACCCATGTAAACGTAACGCATAAAATTGAAACCCGTTGTTTCGTGTTCTCTTGGAGAACGTACGCGAGCACTACGTGCCAAAAGAGGGTGAAATTGCGGGCAAATTAATTCTCGTAAATAAGAAACGATAAGCAGAGGGGCCTGAAGTGGTGGCTGAATGGAGTGGGAGGGGGAGGGCCAGTGAATGGCGGAAACAGGTTCGTTGCATATTCAGTCCGGCCAAGTGAATGAGCGCGCGATCAAACATTACGGACGCAATAAGAGGACGTGAAGAGCCAGCCTCTGTCTCCTTCTCTCTCTTTCTCTTTCGACTTTTAGGAGGGATTTAAAAAGGAATTTTAAACGGTCGTAAAGACGCGCCGTGGAGAAACGCCGACTGTACTTTACGTGCGCTTCCGTCGTTCGAGCAAAAACTTGAAAACGATGTTAACGAGATGCAACGCGTAACGACAGTGCACCGATTAAAGCTGGAAGGAGGTCTCGGGTTTACGTAAAGGCACGTCGAAGGTGATACGTTATGACGTACCTCGCGACAGTGTAATTTCAATGCGCTTTAAGAAACAACTTTTCCATTCCGTGGTGACGATGTAAAACACATTATTCACCACGATATTTATTATAATTATTATTTATCGTGACGTTGCGCGAAAGAACAAAAACGCAATCTGTTAGTCAGTGTAAAATTGTAACTTAATTTTTCTGCGTGTCGCGGTATTGCAATTAATGATTGTTAACTTTCCTTTTTTCCTTTTCAGGCAAAGAGTTGCTCGTTGCGTTATTTCTGTTCTATTCCTAAATTTCCAATTATCTGATACGGTAAAGATTTATCCTACGTTCAATTGAGTATCAAAATATCCAAATTTCTAAATTTCCATGTTTCCAAGCTTCAGTATCGTGTTACTCGTTAATTTAGGACTAACTTAACATCGAAACAATTACTGCCTGCTCTAATCAACCACCACCTAGATAACAAGTTCCCACGAAAGCATTAAAAATTATTTAAACGAGCCAACGAATGATCACCGACCTATATCAGGCTCGTAACAGTCTCGGTTTTACCATTCGTCGGACCTGAGAGAAATATCCTCTGTGCCAAACAGCCCTACTGCTTCTCTTACCCACCTTATTTCGCTGTTCAACCAATTCCTCTCCTTCATAGACACGAGCAAAAACATATATTTGTTAACCCTCTATATACACACACACTTTCCCCTGTCCCCTCCTGTTACAGTACATTTTTTTCCACCCTCGCCGCATTACGAACTGCAATCGCATTGCCACCAGTCTCTTTATTGTTTCTTCGTCGATTGCCTCGCCCCCCCGTTTCCCCTACTTTCGTTGCGCTCGAGCACCTCCCACTATGCCGCGCGGTGGGCGTGGCCTACGCCCGACCGCGCGTCACTGCATACTGCCAGTTTCGTTCTCTGGAAAGTAACGAGTAAATGAATTTTAATAGACGTGATTGTAGGTACGAAGTAGATCGTCGTTCGGGGACGTACAAACAAGCTAAAACTTAAACTTTTAATATCCGAGTTGCTGAATCATCAAATCTTTGAATCTCTCGACACTCGAATTTTCCACAGTGATTCCTCCAGTCTTTCTGAATTTCCAACATTGCACAACGATGAAAATTTAGAAATTTAGAATACTCGTAATTTAGATACGCCAACTCGTAAGTTTCGAACTTTTCCCACTCACATAGATACTTACGTCGTTATTTCTGTGACTGACTGGTCGTCTCGACCGAGAATGAGTTTCTCCGAGCATCGCGTCCAATTGAAAAGACGTTGTTTTCAATGTAATTTTCAAGGGGGATGCTGAGGGTAATTCTGACAAATATTTTTTACGAATTTTTGCATCTTTGTCTCGTTCAAGTGCAAAATAATCATTGACAATTCAAACCAAGAAGTTATTCCAGTACTCGCGAGCATACGTAGATAAACTGCATACTTACAATGCACTGGGATGTGGGCGTGGTTTGCAACAGTGCGTCCTTGTCACCCGCGTTTCACCGCCATGAATCGTAGCCCCGCCCTCGCGTCTCGGTTTGTCCTCCCATTGGTCGTGGGCGTGGCCCTTCGCCTCTGCCGGCAATTCAGCAAGTTTGTAATGCAACGCGACCCCTGGACGGTCTCTCGCAGTTCACCGTGGGCTATCCATAAAAACCGTGCACCACTGGGGGAAGATGAAAGAAAGGACAGGAGATGGAAAGGTTCTCCGCTTTCGAAAAAAAACTCGCGTCGCTGCCCCCACCCGTGTGCGCGACGCACACGGTAGCAAGCACGCGCGAAATATACTTACCAGCTACGTCGATCGATGCGCGAAGGAAGAAAGCTGTCGTTAGCTGCTCGTTGCACCAACGAGTACACATAACGGCGCCAATAACTGCACGTTTTAATGGAGGAAACAGTGATGAGTGAGAGTAGCCTCTCATATCAATTTTAGAGTTTTCTTCTCTGAAATCTGTCTGAACCCAATAACGTGTAGCCAGTAACGTAAAGTAGAAAAAGAATTTAATTACGTACACGACTCACTTTCGTTTTGGTGGTTATGTTATTTATGCATAACTAGCAGCTGAAACACTATTACACTCCCTCTCTATGCTGCAGCGATAAGATAGCCTACGTAAAATGGAAGAAAACGAAGAAGCGCGAGGAAAATGAAGTCAGGTGAGATTAAAAGTTGAGAGCAAGGAAGAATTTGCCAGAGATCATTACGGTTGGTAAAAGAGGTAAATAAAGGCTTCGTTCCTTGACATTAAACATGTCGTAGATAACTACCTAGACTCGATAACTGTTATAAAATGTCGACGATGTTCCAAGCAGTCGAATTGTGCGAAAACTCATTAAGATTTACTGCCTCTAGCACGTTTAGGTAGATAGATCTAAGCAAATGAGCGTTTCAGCTGTGTGAATCTCTATAGTGTTAGCAGACATAACTTCGACATTACTACCACTCTTCGCTGGTACTTGCGCGTTTTTACATTCCGCGCGCTACGCAGAATCCGTGGGCCTCTTAGCCTGTTAATAGATTGATCAGTAGCACGAATAAAACGATTGCTCCGCCAGCCGTTTATCCGGCTATCTGCCTCTTCTCTCTACCCGTCTTTTTGTGCCCCTTGACCGGCAGCCAATTCGACGAATTCAATAACTCGTCCGACCGCGTGCTCGACCGTCGACCCCTCCCCCCACTCTCGCCGTTCGATCCCCACTGCTGGACCGCGAGACGCCATTGGTGGAGGGGCGTGGCGGGTCACGCCCACTCGCGTGGCCCCGGCCACGCGTCTCGCTCCACGGAACCGAATCGCCCGATTCGCGATCCGCGATCCGCGTTTACTCGCGCGACCAGCCTGCGAACCAGCTTCACAGACCAACCCTCCGCGCGGCGGGTTGCAGAGGAAAGGGAATGTCGTTTGTCTTTACTATTTTATTTTTCTTTCTTTCTTTCTTTTTTCCTTTCTTTCCCCTCTTATTTCGTCTCGTTTCCTTTTTCCTTTTGTTTTATCGTTAGTTTCAGCCGATCCGAGCGAAATCGATCGACTTTGCTCGGATCTATAAGTAATCGAAAGAGTCGCTTCTGACTTTTCTTCTTTGCAGATGGAGATCGGGAGATTCTGTGCTCAGACGAAGACGGACGAAAAAGCTGATTTTTAATTGAGGATAGTGGAAGCTTGGAACAAATTCAGAGGTGTTTGACAAAATTTAATAACAATTTTGTAAATTTTTAAATATGTATTCTGCAAGACAAATGGGATACAGAGGAAGAGCTGAGGGTGTAATTGCCATGAGACACAGTCGTAAAATGTCACGATATTAATTAATCGTGTTAGTTAGCCTTTTTCGCAAATGAAAAATCGATCGATTCATAAACACTGAAATGCTGGCGCCGCGTAGCGGTGATTCAGTCGAACTAAAATCTATTTCTGTCCTTGTCACCTGCAAAATTATTAATTAATTATTAATTTAACGATAATATAATACGTCGGTTATGACACCAGTCATGTAAGATAGGCATAAATATTATAAAAATTTCAACATCCCTATAACATGTGCAATTGTTAAATGGTTTTAATAAATACACAGTTAAAGTTAATTATTCGTTTAATTTTTTAATAGCCTGTCCAACAATCCAAATAACCAACAAGAATTTTCGACGCCTGTATTACATTGTCATTCGCAGAGGTGTCAACTATTTGAAATTTTCTCCCTGTTTATAAATTTCGTTTGTTTATTTGCATTTTTCCTTTGTTTGTTTACATTCGGAATGTAAACAAAGAAAATTTCGGAAAATTTTTCCTTCGTCCACAAACATTGTTTGTTTATATTTCGGTTTGTTTATTTACATTTTGGTTTGTTCATTTACATTTAAATGTAAACAAACGAAGTTTCTCCGAATTTTTAAAATTTTCCTTATCCTAAGGTCTCTTGCTCTAATTTTTGAAATTGTCAAGGAGAAAGGATCGAAGGGGGATAGAAATCAAAGGTAAATGACAAAACAGCTGGATTTCACTTACAGGAATAAATTTATTCAATTATTTCAATTGAATTGAATTAGAAACTTTCAATTTACAATTAAAAATTTCATCGTACAATTATTCGGTGGGGAGTGCATCGAATGCAATTTCAAAATTTTTACAGATGCGCGTTTTACATGTTAGAAAAAATGTTAAAAGCAAGTTGATGGTCCAATTTGGAAAAAATGATTGCAAAAGTACGCAAATTAATTCGTTTAATTAGTCTTTTTTGCAATTGAAAATTTAATCGATTTATGGGCACTGAAATGCTAGCGCCGCGTAGCGGTGAAACGGTTGAATTAAACTATATCTCTGTCCTTGTCGTATACTAGCTCTCTCCTTGTCTGCCACGCGGATATATCTGTCCTTGTCGCACACTAGTTCTCTCCTTGTCTGCCACGCGGATATATCTGTCCTTGTCGCACACTAACTCTCTCCTTGTCTGTGACGCAATGTATATCTGTCCTTGTTGCACACTAGCACTCTCCTTGTCTGTGACGCAAATATATCTGTCCTTGTCGCACGTTATCGCCGTCCTTGTCTATGAACGAAGTGCTGCCATCTATCGGATTTTTCCAATTTTCCCTTTTAGTTCCAATGAAAAATTAAGTGGCTCAGATGGCAGCACTATACGTAGACAAAGAACGCAATACTGTGCAACAAGGACAGAGATAGCGATTAGTTCCACCGTTTCACCGCTACGCGGCGCTAGCATTTCAGTGTCCATAAATCGAACAAATTTTCAATTGCCAAATAAACTCATTTAGGGGATTAATTTGTGAACTTTTGCGATTGTGCCATCTTAATTAGATTCCCAGCTTTCTTTTCATGCCCCATTTGACCTTCAAAATGCCAAAATAAGCATTTTTAAAATTTATTAGTACCGGTAGTTTAACGGTAGATGGCGCCACCATGCAAAAAAAAGGAAGCGTTGTCATTAGTTGTAAATAATTAATTAATTATATCAAAAAATACGTACGAGTATTATTATACAAAAATAGTTTCTTAGAGCGAGAACTTTGATTTAATTCCTGAATAATTATAATTCGGCTTTAAAACCTACAAAATTCGATTTTTTTTCGATTTCATCGTGGATCGATCGTATTTTTATTTACAAAAAATTAATTAAAAACAGGTTTGATATGCAAAATTTTGTGCCTTGAAAATCGCGATATTTTTTAACAACAAAAATAAATAATAGTAAAAAAAAGTACACAATACAAAATATATATGTTACACTTTTTATTAATGTAATCGTATACCACTATTTATTTTACAATTTTACATTTTTATTTTCGAGTGGAATTAGTATGGACAGAATGTAAGAGAGGAATTGTCCTTCAGAGATAAAATTAACTTTTAGAAATGGATGAATTTACAGCAGAGGAAATATATATGCTCACTGCACTTCTTTATAAGCCTAAAACAATAAAATGATCCATCTTCAACTTGTTCAACTTATAACTTCAATTTATTCAACACACCAAGAATGTATTTTAAAAAGAATCTGCTATAATATTTTCTTCTTTCATCTATTTCAGACAAGTTGGACTCAAATCACATGTCTTGTATTCAACAATCTGATATTTCAAATTCTAACACCTGAAAAAGAAATAAACTTAAATAAACTTAAATAAACTTAAATACAGAAGACAAGATCAAATTTTAAGAATACAAGTTCATCATTTAACAAAATCTGACAAATAATATCTTTGTGATGTATTAGTAGTTAATTGAAAAAGCAGCACTGTTAGGTTATGACATAATCTAACATTGTTTGGTTATCACATAACCAAAACTAACGACCAATAAATTTCAAACACTTTAACCACTTACCATTGAAAACTAAACTAACTAACAAGATAGTTTATCTTAAGCCAATTTGAGTTTTCTAAATAGCTAATTGAAAATTTAATTTTTAATAATAATTTTGCAGTTCATTGCATGTACTCTATATGTTCAATAACATATGTTATTGTATATTCTTAATATATTCAACTTAATTAAATTAAATGACATTATAATAAATGTTAAATAATCTAGTTTAGAATATAAGATACAAATTTATTTCAATTAATATATCAGTATAATGAAACATACAGTACATTAATAAACAATAACAATGTTTCATTGTTTCTATTAAATGTAAGACTCTGTTTGGTACAAAATTTACATTTTTTGATTCGAATACATTAAGATCATTAGATAAACTATCAAAAAATTGTAGATGTGTCATAACATTTGCAATAATTGAAAGTTAATAATGTACAAGCTCCACTGTAAGCACATTGTTATTTAATTAATTAAATATAAGAAGAAGAATGTTTACATAAATTATTTTGATAGTCAATTGATGCGATTTTCTATTTCTTACTAAATTATTGGAAATTAAACAGGCAGATCACTTGGTCAAAATAAAATTCCTAGATTATTGTCTAGGGATTTTCGTGATTTTCTGTCAATTTCCACGCATCCACTGTATTGCACGGCACGGTGTTGTATTGTACGTATATCAGTGTATAGCAGTATATATTGCTTAGGTACTAAAGATCTTTTGTTTACCAATTATTTAGACGCAACCGACGCGATTATAATGAGCGACGATGATCGAGACATTGACATTGAGAGCGACGTAAGTAGTCAACAGTAGTTTCTTTTTTCTTTTTTTCGACGAATCTTATTAAAAAGGTCGTTTTTCAGGAAGGTGACGATTCCGATTCTAGACAGAGACATTCAAACAATACCCAATATTATTCTCAAGTAAGTGCGCTGTCACATTGTTCCTTACTTGTTTCTCTCCTGATTCTGTTCATTTATTCAATATTTCTTATTTAATTAATGTACGAAGTTTTATTTCCGTAAATGTCAAGTACATATATTGTTGAGGTTAGGTAGACGCTTTCCACTCGATTTGATCAATTTGCCCTTCAAAACAATATGTCGAAAATAACATAGTTTGAAAATGAGATTTCCAAACTTGTGATTTTGTGTAAGCATAAATTGTACAATATAAAGAACATTGTGTTTCCAGGCAGAAAAACGAGCACACCACAATGCGTTGGAGCGCAAGAGGAGAGATCACATTAAGGATAGTTTCTCGAGCCTTAGAGACTCTGTACCTGCATTGCAAGGAGAGAAAGTTGCAAGTAGAGCGCAGATACTTAAGAAAGCTGCGGAGTATATACAGTTTATGCGTCGCAAGAACACTTCTCATCAACAGGATATTGACGACTTGAAACGCCAGAATAATCTCTTGGAGTCTCAAAGTAAATATTGCCTCTGACAGCAGAAAGTTTGTATAAAAGTCAAATTGGATTTTGTTCCAAGACCGTCTAGGAATTTAAAATGCACTGTTGAGTTTAACTTTTGTATTGTTTGCAGTTAGAGCACTTGAAAAAGCAAAGATAACGGGCAACTTTGCGGCAGAAACCTGCGAAGTGAAATCAGAAGTACCAATGCCTGGTTATAACGATACGGAATCTGAATCCTCGGACAGTGAAGCTAGCAGAACAGTGCGTCAAACAAAAAAACTGAAAGTTGCAGGTCTTCATCATTGACCAATGGTTCGGCCCGTTTGTTTTAATAAAAACTTATCTTTTCTTTGTAATTAAATTCAGTTATAAAATCAACACTTCCTCTTTGAAATGGAAAGAAAAAGAAAAGGATTTTCAGCGGAATTTTAACACACCATCGGCGGGTTACAGCGCGCGCTTTATTGATGTGCCTAGAGGGCCTAGCGATGTATGAAAAGAATGCACTTAGAAAACATGTAATATCTTCAAAACTAATAGTAGGATTTCAATGAAATTTGGAAAATAAGCAGTATATAGTATTTTAAACATATTGATGAAATCAAAAGAAAATGAAATTTTTAATTTAGTTTTTTATTTCTTCATTTAATGTATAACATGGACGGGGCATTTTTCGTTCACGTAATAAGACAAAAGTATACTAATTTTTACAAATACTTTTTCATCCAGTTTTTTGTATAGTAATTTTATTTTATTCTATATTTTACTCTATATTTTTTAAACTATGGTATTTTTGGGAACACTCACCCTAATCTCGCCAAATTTACACATACAAGAAGTCAAACTTTTCTTTTTATTTCTTTTTATTCACTGTACAAACGCAACATTTTTATGCAGTAACAATTTAACGCAGTAACAATTTTTATAATTTCATGTTTCCGCAAGTCTGATGACAATCGTCCAGGAGGATCTTTCTTTACTGTAGGCCTTCTGTACCCAGAAACAGTACAGAGTATTTGCTGAATCAAAAAATGTACTTCCTACAAAAAGTATTAATATCTTTTCTGCCGATAGTGTGTTAATGTCTCATAGCCAATGTACAAATTACAAATTATAGATAATACTATTGATTCATTTAAAGATTAATGAAACAACATGTTTCTTTAATACTTTGGAGTAGTCTTTTAAAATGTTTTACAAATTTGTAAGTTCTAGAATTTTTTCTTTATTTTCTTTATTTTCTCTCAGAATCATTCATTTGTTTATTTGTCACGCCCCAAGAGGGCCAACTTTCGGCGGACTTAATGTATTATGCGTACAATGCATACTTAACCTGGTGATCGCCATCGATCCATAAGTAGGCTGCACCCACCAGCGGCTGATGATGTTTATACCTTCAAAATTTATGGTAACCCAAAACCCTAACCCAAACCTAACCCGGGATTACCCACGTGGGGTCTAGTGCACGTACATCCCGGCACTAGACCCCCAGATGGGTAATCCCCGGGTTAAGAACAGACACTGTTAGGACACCAGATCAGGCTAACTCATCCTGGTTGCCGACTGAAGAGAAAGTTTGAGAAATGAATTGAATAGATATTAGTAGGGAGAGTTGAACGCAAAAATCCGCAGTGACGTAGAAACTGCTCTAAAACGTCGGGAGACATCACATATTCAAGGTTATTTGTCGTAATCATTCTATTGTAAATTTATGAAAAGTTCTGAAATTATTAAATATACGCTTAATTATAGAATTTACGAAAATTTTTAAATTATTTTTTTGTTTGAATAAGAATTATATTATATTGATGGAAATTTTAATATTATTGAAAAATAAATAAGAATTAGAAAAAAATTTCTTTAATTTAATTACTTTTCAACCGTATGTATTTATGTAATAAGTAAGTATTGATAATTATATATATGTATATTATAGAATGACATTCTTTTAGCAAGAAATACTATAATCATCTAATATTAAAAGATATTAAATTTATTCTATAAGTATTGTAAAAAATTGATTAACATCAAATGTATTAACTAGCTATTGGATATTTATAATCAGTAGAAATAAAAATTACTTGTAGAAAATATTAAATTATCAATATAAGATTTGAATTTCTAGAAGTTTACGCATTATATTTCTAGTTCTAACAAATAATATTTTAAACTTTACTTCATATTGCAATGGTAAGTAAAATTTGTAAGACTAGTGGTAAAATTGAATTCCCTAGAAATTTCATATTATGTACAGTGTCATGTTGAAATTTGGAACACTGTCAAAATACACATGGTTAGGACAAATTTAGGACAATGAATTATTAGTTATGAGTTTTTGCCCAATAACAAGAAACAAATTATAAACATTATTGATTCAATTGGATAATCTAGACAAGTTATGAGTCATTCAAAAAATTAATAATTAAATTTAGATATATCATACAATTCATAACATATGTATTATTATATACGTATTTTTATATATAAAATATATATAAGTATATGTATAATATATATATTCATACAAAGGAATAAGAAATACATTTGACACATATACATATATATAATATATTATAGAAATTATTTTTTTTTTTTATATTAAAAACTGATAATATTGAGAAGAAATACTCGAAATACTACAAATAATTATGATACTCGGCGAAACAAACGTGAATCATAAAAAAAAAATGTAATATATTATTATATTCTTTAATCATACAGTAATTACACTTACAAGTGTACAAAATAAATTACTACCATATAGGTAGAGAAATAATTCGAACGTAAATATTCAAGCTAACATATGTTCTACTTAACCTCATTTGAAAACTTCAACCATTTTTGATGTATTAATTTCACTAACGTATCAAGTAAATATTACTAATTCTTTACAATTACCCGCAAATAATACATGTAAAAAAATGAGTAATAAAACTAACATATTTCACGCTGTGGAAAGATTTATCGAACGAATGATCACTATCTTTTCCTGGAATAAAGAAGTACAATATGTGACTTCAATGTTACGATTTATGTTAAACATCTCTCATAAAATCGCTCATGAAACATTGTGAAATCCATCGAACGATCCATTTAGAATGTTCAACGTGGAGAATAAAAAAGTTATTTGCAAATAATACTTCCACGACATATTGATGTGAAAAATATTCTCCAAGTAAAAAAATTTCATTCTACATGTGTGCTTTTATGTGACTTTTATGTGCACAATTAAACTATTGTTAAACGTAGACTGGCAAATTGTCTTGACAAAGATATTCACTATAATTTTGATAAAGATAATGCACTTGATCGAAATGCATATATACAATCGAACTCCGTTTTCGATTTATCACGTATTCGTATACGATAGAAAATGTCTATTATTCTTGCAATTTTAATAGGTATTTTATGAAAAAAAGGAAGAAAAAGAAAAAACGAAAATACAATTTTAAAAAGGAACAATGAAAGCACGCGAACAGTTCGAAAGTTTAGATAAGATCGCAAAATAGTTCTCTGTTGTTTTGACAGACTCGATGACTATTTATGTCATGATTTTATATGTTTGTTCTTGTTAAATAATTTTCTCGTGGATTTAAACTTCGTGAGATGGCAGAATGCATCGGAATGTAAAAAGATAAAAGTAAATACTAGATTTTCTCTGGATAGTTCAATATTTATAGGTTATGAGTATCAAATACGGGAAACTGTTAATTACCAATACACATACATGCACCACTCCGATAAAGGACAATAGTAACGATAATGAAATAAACAATTGTTTAATTTCTGATAGTGAAAAATTGCTTGTTAATCTGCACCAAATTATTAAGCTCCTATCTCTTATTAAGCACACATTGGCACAGGCCGTAATAATTAATACAAAAAGTAATGATCGTAATTATGAATTTTCATTTGAATGATCAATATTTTTTCATAATTATTATTATTTCAAGTACTCGTATATTCTATGCAATTAAACAAAAGTATCAATATTACGATGTACATATATGTATACACATATTTTTACGAAAATTCGTCGTATACTGGGAATAAAGGTACTTTACGATTCTTACGTTGGTACCGCAAGTACAATTGTCGCGCAGGCAACTTCAAAATGTTCTTTTGTGTTGCAAATTCGATTGACAAAAACCCAACACAATTTTCATTATTAAAATTTATTATTGTTAAAATCGTATTTCACGAGGAAGATGTCGCAACAAGTTATACTTACAAAACTTGACAAATTGGATAAATTGTTTCCTGGAAAAAAATAACGGTAACGAAAAAAAATGTTCTTGAACAATTATTTTTGACAGCGATCAGTCGACATTTAATTATTCTCAATATGTTTGCATTCGATTCTCAACAGTTTTCGATTAAAAAGTTGAGTAAAATGTAGCAGCTGTTGGTGATAAAAGAATTTACCATGTATTCGAAATTTGCATTCCCTCCTAAATTCGGGGTATCGAGTTAAAGGTATTTGTCACAAGATAAGCAGCGATTAAATGTACAATATATTTCGAAATATTTGCGAGACGAGATGGAAATATTCACGACGGAATTGATTAATTCAAAAAAATGGAAGGACAAGAGGAATTGAAACGCGAGCGTAGAGGCAGCCGCGTGAAGTGGCCGCGGGGAAGATTGGTACGACTGGAGGCGCCGTTGGCACGGTAGTGGGGATAGAAGGGAGGTGTGGTAACGGTTAGGAGTCTCGTCCAACCACGAGAGGAGCTAGTAGCGTTCGTCTGGCAGTATGAGGCGGCGTGGGGCTAGGGACGATGCATGGGCTGCGACTAGGAGGCACTTGGGAGGTAGGGAGGGCATGCGAGCGGAGCACAGTTCAGTAGTCGCCATTGCAAGTCCACCTGAGCTCTTGTACTCGTGACACTCGGACGCGTGGAGCCGATTTTCCGCTATTCTAATCTCCCCGCGAGGGCCCTGTGTGTGCCCCCCTAATGCAGAGATATTGCACCGAGCTCACCGACAGATTGTTGAAATCGCTCGATAAGGAATACAATGTAAGTAGCGGAATGAATCCGCGATGCGCCGTCCGTCCGTTCACGTAAACGGCTATCGGGCCACTCTCGATCCCCCGTGCGCCGTGTGCCTGTACCAGTGGCGTGCGCGAGATTCACTGAGAATGTAGTGTAGTGGCGGCTCCGCGTGTGAGTGAGTAATACGTCTCCTCTGTGTGTTACGTTCGATGCCAGTCGGCCGTTCTCTTCCCTTTTGCGCGAATGTATGTGTGCGTGCCCGACCGACGTAAAACGCGTTCGTCGGCTACCTGGAGCATAACCTCAAAACGCGCCGTTTCCAGCGGGAAATATCCAGGAATATCGACAGGAACTTGAGAATGCATCGCTGCATTCCCTCCTCTTGCCACTGCCACCGTTCAGATTAGCCTCCGTTGCACCCGATAAGCAGGCACCTTCTTCGCGCCTTCCTCCCGCACTTTCGCGAATTTTAGGCTTCTCAGTCTCTCTCTTTGTCTTCCTCTTTTTCGTGCTGTCGAGGAATTTTCTCTGCTGGAAATTTTGCGTAAAAAAAAAAAGAGAGAATGAAAACTTGAGAACGTTCGAAAGAATCTCGCAGTTTTTTGGGACCCGATCGCCGTTTTCGTCGAAAAAAATTTTTTTTTGTCTTCTCGATACGAAACGTTAACATCGGTGGCACGAGTCCGCTTTCGTTCCGCCGAAGATTGAAGAAGTGTATATAGACACGTGTTGATTATTTGTTTTTTACATTCGTTCGTGTTTTGCATCGCGTATTGGACCAGAATAACGAAATCGTTACTATTTGCAAATTGCACTTTTTTTTTCGAAGTTTCGACAGTAAACTATCATTAAAACGCGATTCGGTTTTACTATTGTAAGGTCGATTTTATTGGCAATAAAACGGAAAAATAACGATCTTTTGTTACGTTATTTAACAATGTTATTATCGAATTGTTGTCAAATTGTAGTGATTTATTTGAAAAAAAAAAACAGATGTAAATTTATTGGAATTCCAAAATTCTGTATGTTAATAAAGCATTAAAATATTTTAAGTATTAAATCTACGCTTTTTTTTAATTGTTATTCTTTTTCTTTCTTTTTTTCTTTTAAGTAAGAACAAAATTTCGAAAATAATTCCCGCAATATACATTGATCGTCTATCGTCATTTTCAGTAATAAATGTATTGAGAAATTAATATAGCACAAGCACAATGAAATTTCATCAGTTTTTATACATCATGTAGAAACATTATACAAATTACTCCAAATATGTAGGAAATTGGAATATATATACAATGCATATTGGGAGGTATTTTCATAATTATATAATTATTTTATTAATTAATTGTAGTAATTTAACATAATTGATATCTAATAAAAACTGGGAAATCAATATCTCATAATGACACAATTATCAAACTTTGTTAGGTCGTCGACATGGGAGCTGTTGTGGATGTCATTACGGCCCTGGAAAAGACGACGATCACTAAAGAAGTACTTGAGGTAAAAATTCTACAAATTCTACAAATATAGTGTGCTAAATAAGTAATACATTTAAAGGATAGAGATTGCATCATCTAGTCCCATTTCTTATTTCCCTTACTTTTTTAGTTAGTTATGTAATTGTGAATTATTTCAGATTACAAGACTTGGAAAATATATCAATGAACTTCGAAGAAAAACGAACAATGATGCCTTGGCTAAGCGTGCAAAGGATTTGGTACGAAGATGGCGTGATATGGTTTTACCTTCTGCTCATTCAACTCCACAACCTACACCTGCAGACACAGCACCACCTGCTCTCAATGGAGCAAAGCCACATAGCCCTGCATTAAGATGTTTTAAACCACAGAGTCCAGCATTAAGAGGTCTAATACCACCTCAAAGCCCATTGTTAAGGGATACCACTCCACTCAGAGTGAGTCGCTAATTTTTCCTTTTTTTCATTTTATGTATCAATTGTTAACATTCTTCGTTTAAAAACAATTAATAATTTCCAATGAATTCAAAAGCACATTCTGTCTTCAACATGTGGATTCAGAAATTTACATATAAACATAATAGAACAATTTAATCATTTAAACGAGAAATAGTCAGTATAGTAGCTAATATTATAATAAATTAATAGGTTGTGTTTAAAACTGTTATACCGTTCCGATTACAGGTGCTTAGTCCAGTTCTATCTGTGCATAGTGATCATTCACATTCTCCTAATGCATCGTCGAATAAGCAGTCAATTACAGTAACCAGCAACCACAGAACAAGTTCTGATGTGCCACCTACGCTTGGTTCTTCAAGCCAACATCACTCTATGGAAGCAGTGCCACGAACTCATAGTTCAAACAAACGTCTTCGAAAAGACGATCTCAAGGACCAACACAATTATCAGCATCATGATTCAGACTCAATCACCGAAAGTGAATCCTTTATTAAAAAGCAACGTCTAAATGGCGAAAATATAAGTGGTAATTTAAATATGCAAGTGCCTAGCCCCACATTTAAAGAAAGAATCTCTGATCAGTTTATGGAGTCTTCCACAGATCCTGATGTATCAGGGCCAAAGAAACGTGGTAGAAAGAAGGGCAGTAAATCTATGAAGAAGCAGCCGGTTTTAGAAGATCGTGTAAAGGAAAAACTAGCTAGTATTTCAAGGAATCCTAAATTAAAAACAACTCAAGAATTGCTGGCTGATTTACGGGCACGCGGCACCAATTCTAGCATTAATTCAAGTGCTCAACCTAGTCAAAGTGTAGAATCATCCAGCATGGAAGATATTCTGAGGAATAGCAATGAACAGGTATCAAAGTTCCTTCGTGGTCCTCAGAACAATTTATCCCATAGAAATACAGTTTCTAAAGCCTCACCAGAAAGTCGGTTAAAGCCCACAGAAAACTGTCACGATGTACCATCTAAGTGTGAAGAAGCAGGTGTAGTGTACAAAGAAAAATCAGTTACAAATGTTCAAAATAAGCAACCAGAACAGTGTCGAGATTTAACGGTCGAGGAAATATTGGCCAAGTTACCACCAATAGATCCAAGTTCAATAGATTGGAGTGAGTGTGAAACTGAACCAACGGAAGATCAAAATACCGAATATCCACCTAGACAAGTTACTGCAGAGGATATAGAAAGGTTACATGTACAGTGTGTAGAAGGACTGAATGGAAACTTCCAACCAAAATTGTCATCTTTAACTTCGACTTCCAATGAGAAGCCGGAAATAAGGGAAGAATCATCAGAAATTAATGGTGTAAACAATGTGCATAACCGACCTGACGAAGAATTTCGAGAATGGCATCAGATGCTAGCGAGGCCCAGTTGCAATGGCCAGATCCTCCACATATTGCCTTATGTTATTATTGATTAGTAATTTTATTATCTTATTCTATTATTATCCTTGTGAAGAATCCCTGCAAATATTAAAGAGATTGATCGATGATCAATCTATTAAATCGATTTCTATTGCAATTTATGATTGCTCTTTATTTCTATAAATGCTCATGTTAATAACACCATCCTTGTCATCATTATTGATTCCCAATATTATTCAAATTGAGACTGTCATTTTGAATGTACGAATTAATCGCACTAAAAAATACATACTGGCAGTCATTTCATGTGAATATTAGTCTCGATGATATTATCGTCATAAGCACTAATTTTACTTTATTCCTAAAAATCATATAATCGTTAGTATCATCTTTGTCATTGTCGCTGTCGTCGTTATCACTTTAACCATTGGTATCATCACCGACACGAAATTATCTTTATTAATTATTGTTACTGTTGTTATTAGTGCTATTACGATTATTACAATTATCATCAATCTCGTCATTACAATTCATTAATGACATGTGATGAGAGCATCTCTTTTATAGCACAGAAGTATGAAAAGAATATTTCGAAAAATCAAAAAAACGTAATGCGAGGCCTCTACTGTTGTAATATTCACCACCAATGTTTATGACAATGTATTTCAGCTCAAAAGTACTTTTTAAATTTTTCTCTTGTTTTGTATGATGTATTATTATTACCGTTATCATTGGCATTGGGATTATTATTGATTAAATTATTACACTATTATTTTTTAATAAGAACAATGATGTTTTATTTGCGTAAAAAAAGAATTTTTTTCTTAAAGAGAAGAAGAGGCACACAATGTAATTCAAATAGTGCACTTTGGCCTATGCATAAAAAAAAAGAAATTATTTTCGGAATTAATCATAATGATGTGTTTAAAAGAAATGTATAAAAAATTAAGGGTAATCATATTTTAGTTACTGTAATATACTGTTTAATTTAAGACATTCGTGAGGAATGACTTTAAGCAAAAAGTATGTGGTGAAAAATTGTACATCACAGAAAGTGGTACAGTTAAAACAAATAATATTTCAAATGCTTTCTGACATAATATTTTGTTTATGAATTTGAAATATTTATTAAACTGTACAGGTCATTTAACTGTAATATGGAAAATAATTTTTCGCGCGTGGAAAAAAAATAGTCGAACCGAATATTAACGGGGCCTTAATTAAAATTTAAAAATAAAAAAAAAAGATATTTGTCTAATAAGGTATTATGTTGCATATACTTCTAGTGAAAGTAATACAATTCGAGTAAGTTGTAAATTTTTCTATCTCAATTCTTCGTTTCATACATTATAACGATATAGTAAGACGAAAGTAAACGCCTAAATGAAGAGAGAAATTCTTGTTTTTGGAACAACTACAGTAAAAATCCACATGTAATTATACTACTGGAAAGAGAAACACGGTACGTGCAATGTCCAAATGTTCCAGTGCAATGCAACAAATATCTCAATACTGTGTAATTTTTTTAAAAAAACAACAGAGAGGAGAGTTAGAATTATTTGAAGAATGTAAATATGTTGTTCAAAATCGTAAGAACACTGGAACCAAAATATATTAATATTTTCTATAATAACCAAATAATACTATGTGTTATGTAAAAAAGAAAAAAAATAACGAAAAAGAAAAAGAAAAAACAGAAGAGAAAGATTGTACATACTATGCAATTATAGCATGTATAATTAAAGCTTTGTAAAATATTACGAATTAGAGAAAGAGAATGTCTGATTTTATATGTGTTCATTTTCCGACGATAACAGTTACCTTTTTGTTTAGTTTCTTTTACGATGTACTTTCGAAATGTTTAAAAACTTTTACACTGAAAATCAATCATTGACAAAAGATACAAGAGACATTGTTTTTTCTTTTGGATTAAGCATCACAATAGCTGTGTTGGAACATAATGAGATATTTCCAAAACGATGTACATATAATATAAATTTTTATAATTTCTCGTGTTGTCCATTTATATTAATTAAAATGCCTTGCTTTACAAGTATATGATAAGAATTTTATTTATACAGACATTTGTGTATACCTTTGTATTTAAGATTAAAGACACAAGTTAATATAATTAAATACCACAGTAGTTTCAAGATCGTTTAAACGATTGTCTTCAATAATTTCAAACTATATCTCGTTTCATTTGTTACATCTCATTTCTGTATATAATTTGTTTTATTTTCAAATCCATTAATTTTCTGTTCTTTAACTATTCCAACCAAATTCGAGAGAAGCGTTCATTCTCATTCAATGTGTTTCAATGTAATATCATTTTATTGAACGTTTACCATGAAGTACTAAGAAAATCGATTGTTCGAATGAATTTTAAACGAACCTTGGTTCCCATTGCGAAGTATACGATGTCTTTATCACGCAACTTTGCTTTAAACTAACAAAACGTCCAATTCGGTGATCTATTGAGTAAAAAAGATTGCGATAATAATTAACAAAAAAGATTTTGCATTTTATTAAGATACGCTTTTCTTACCGTGATACTTTCATCTGAATACATTAATATCCATGTCGTGCATTAAACGGCTCATCGTCTTCGAAATAAATAATTCCGCCTTTTATATCTTTATCGTAGTACGTGTCTGCAATTCTATCGTAATACACGATTAAAAATGAAAAGCGGTATACTATAAAATAAAGATTAAATAAAATAATAAAATACGTACTACCGATCAACGTAATTTTAGGATGAAACGTTTCATTCGATTTGGGGCTCCATATCGCTTAATCACTGTTAAATAATAACAGAGCTTAAATATTTGCACTTGCAGATACAACAGCAGCGATTTAACAGAGTTCCAAATTTCAAAAATATCGAATATTCATTGATAATATACAATCGAATCTCTGATAAAAAAAGAATCTAATTTTAAGCAAAGAAAATTCAGCCGCGTTACAATAAAATTATTTCACTTCTAACCGTACATAGAAACTGAGTGACGACATTTAATAATATACATACCTAATTATACTTGATGTTATGTGAAATATGAAATAAGTTTGGGAGCTTAAAGTCTCGTTTCGAAATCTCTGTTCTTTAGTCTAGAGCGAGATAATCCCAAGAAAGGATCGATTGCTCTTTTTTTTCGAATAATACAAACTAACGAGATTGTTACGCGTTACGCGAGGTGATTTTGAAATCGTTCGTAACGTCAGGTAGGCATACGCGCATAAGAGGGCGGTATCGTAATAGCGACTGCGCAATCAATCGAAATAGCCGCGATATGGTACGAACACGTGTGTAGGTGCACACATACAAGGTGGGGGATACATTTCTTCTAGCGTCTCTCTCGTTCCACTCGTTAGCACGGGTTTTTAGTAAGTTCGCGTTTATAGGAGAGACTTACGATGTTTAGTCGCCTTTGAGTCCGTCAACTACATACATAGTACCAGTAAGGAGAGATGTCCAGCATCTGCTGTACCGGATCCTCCCTGTGCCAAGAGATCGCAGTACGTGCCTGCATGTGAACGCGCCTCGATTTTGTATTTTTCTACGTTTCATTGTGCTATTTTCAATATGTGTCGCTGAGCATCTCTTCGGATATTTCTCACACCTTACGCCGATCATATGAAAAATGTCGAAGCTCGGTGACAAGCCAAGCTACGCGCAGACATACAAGCTCGTCGTCGTTGGCACGGGCGGTGTCGGAAAATCTGCGATCACGATACAATTCATTCAAGTAAGTACTTTTTATGGCCAATAGGTGTAGCCGATACGTACGTGGGTGTACGTATGGACGTATATGCAGGCACACGTATCGTCTGTCTGTGTGCGGCACGCTGCTATTTGTGTGTGTGTGTATGTATGTATGTATGTATATATGTATATATGATGCATGACGTATATATACATGGTGCTTGGTAATCATGATACAATCGACAAGATGGCGATTTTGTAAAAAAAACAAGTTGGAACTTTCTCATACGATGCTTTGCTTTAGAAAAAAATGAAATTTGAAATTCTTGATTGATCGTAAAAGAATATCTCAAATAGAAAAATTTTATTCCACATTTTTCAACTGTTATCACGTACAGAATAAAATTCTGATGTTTATAATTAGTCAAATTCATATTAAATTTTATTCTATTATATTCATGTCAAATTTTTGATTTATTTTCCCACGTAGAATCACTCTCGTGTCAATTGTACTCTAATTACCAGGACATCTTGTATATGTGACATTTATTTATTTGTGTACACATTAGATTCGTTTTCATGCGTCTTGCATCATTTACAATCAATTCGAGTTGAGGGAACAACGAAAGGAATAATGATAATTTTTAATAAGTTTCATTAACGTTAGTAAACAATTTGGGCATTGGATTTCACTTATGACCATTTTCGTTATTACGCTTGCACCGAATACTAAAAAAGGGAGCGAGCCTGTGTTTATCATTGATTATGTCATACATAACTAAGGGGATAAGATTGTTGATATAGTCGCATAATATTATAATACTCGTATAATATGCACGCGACAGAGAACATTTTATATATACATACTAATAATTTATAAATTATAAATTTTTTATAAAAAAATATATAATGAAAAAATACGTCGCAATGAATTAAATTTACTTAAATTTATATTATGTATTTATTTTGTTTAATAATTTTATCGTTAAATACTTATTAATTATATTTGATTTGTTTGTAAATTCATAAATATTGACTGACGTTACTAATTTTTAATAAAATTTTTGATTATTTTACACTAATTTTATCAACATTTTTCAGAGCTATTTTGTAACCGATTACGACCCAACAATCGAAGACTCTTATACCAAACAATGTGTTATCGATGATGTTCCTGCGAAACTTGATAGTAAGTAAAACCATAAAAATGGAATAATGTAAATTAATTATTGTTTCATATTTATTTGTATAATACAATCATAATAACTTTTATAACTTATTTTATGTTAATTTTCATGCAGTTCCATAATGAACAATGGGTTTGTTATTGTAAGACCATAATCCCTTAGTTATTCAATTTTAGAACGAATATTTTACGAAAAAATTAGAATGGCCAGTTTATAAATGTTAAAAATAATAATAATATATATGTGTATATATATATATATATATATATATATATATATATATATATATATATATATATATATATATATATATATANAATAAAAATATATATGTGTATATATATATATATATATATATATATATATATATATATATATATATATATATTTGTAGAATATTTCGAACTAATAACAGAACTAATAACGTTTATGTAATTTTAGTATTAGACACAGCAGGTCAAGAAGAATTTAGTGCAATGCGAGAACAATATATGAGAAGCGGCGAAGGATTTCTACTTGTATTCTCGATAAGTGATCTTTCATCTTTCGATGAAATATTAAAATTCCACAGGCAGATACTTAGAGTAAAGGATCGAGAAGAATTTCCTATGCTTATGGTTGGTAACAAAGCTGATTTGGATTATCACAGAGTTGTAAGTAAATAAAACAGAAGAAAAGAAATGAAGATTATGTACAAAGTGCTATGTTAATATATTGACGCAAATTGTTATAGGTTCAAGTTGAAGAGGCACAAAATAGAGCTCGTCGATTGAAAATTCCGTATATTGAATGTAGCGCAAAATTAAGAATGAACGTTGACCAAGCTTTCCACGAATTAGTAAGAATTGTCAGAAAGTTTCAGTTATCTGAAAGACCACCGCTAGAATTAAACTACAAGAAAAATAAAAAGAAATGTTGTATGTTGTAATACCTAATATGTTTTTAATTGACGAATTTTTGTATCAACAAAATGGTACAAAAAGGTTGGATCAAAAATCAGAATTGTGGAACTAATCAAATCATAAGAATCGTAATCTCTTACACTTAAGTTGTAAGAATTTGAAATCTAAAATAACGGATTGTTCAAATGCTTTTGATAATAACATTTTTAACTGAGAATTTATATACGTAACTCGGATCAAAGAATGCTTTAAGCACGTATAATATTTTTGAGTATATTACAAATACTTTGTACTAAATTACAAAACGAATTAACATAGTGGTATTTATCAGAAGTGTAGTAACACTGTCCACAAATCGTGTAACTTTAATTGTATAAGAAATAAAAATAACGACGTATTTTATTAAAAATACATTGGTAACGATGTAAGTTTTATATTAAATATATTAATATATTTAATACTATAGTTAATATTATCGTGAAACACGTGTATCCCTATATATTGACTTCATATATCAATTTTCAAAACAAATCTTAATATTATTTAAAATATTTATTTGTAAATACGCATGTAAATAACAATAATAGCAAGGCCAATAACAACTCTAACATGAAACTTTTATTAATTTTTTTAATTTAATATAATTTTAATTATACTTAATTTTTCTGTTATAATTGCAATAAGTGCAACTTAAAAAAGTTTATACTTTGATGTGTTCATAGAATGGTCTGTTAAAATTACCAAACTTGTTTATTTATATTATTTTATGTTTATTTTTGCCATAATTTACCTAGTGTTATGTAAAACTGTTTTTACTTTTAAAATAAAAGAAATTAATTTATTATGAACAATTTTATGCTTGTATTTACAATTATAAAGTATGTACTTCACATATGTATTAGGTATATTTTTATACTGATTACCCAATATGACCAAAACGTAGATGCTACTAAATTGTTATTGTAGTAATATACTATATACTATAGTATATATTATATACTATAGTAATATATTAAATTGGTTTATGTAAATACAACAATTCCAAGATTAATATAAAATGCAAAAATTATATTTATTTTTATATATTACTATGTATTTGTAACAAATTTTTATACATACCTGATATATAACATGTTTGTTAACAGTCTCTAATAAATTAAATAGGAAAATAGATAATTGTATTCGTTGTTATAACGAAATTGTAACTTAATAATTGATAATAATTTATATTAATGTATTTTTTTATCTTAAAAATGAAAAGAAAAGTAAAAATTGAATTAATTGCGTACTGTTCTTGAATAAAAATCATTGCACATAATACTTGTAATCTTAATTTACAAACTGTTAATGTATTCCCTTCAGTATTCATATATCATTTTACGAGTATTATTAACAACAACGTGGATGTAATAAAGAACAAGAATAATACTATTTTAAGAATGATCCTTAAAATTTATATAATAAAAATCCAACCGAAATTAAAATTACGGCAAAATAAAATATTTGATAATTAAATAGAAGCAAATTTTTGCAAGCTTTTTGTTCCTTAACTATATGTGTGTGTGTGCGCGCGCGCGCGGTGTGTAAAACTATATACATATAGAATATATACACATACATATATGCAATACATAGATATATGTATATCATACATGTATTGATTGCAATTTTATTACTCGATTAAGGTTATACTTTACATTCGTACCGACAATACATCTACCGAAATGATGAAACGGAATAGTCTAACACAATGATTTGACAAAAGAAGCAATAAAGATCGATTTTGCACAACGGAACATTCACCCTAATTTAGTCAGTAAGCAACTGGCACGCAAGGTGGTCAAACGGGATTCCCATCGTGGCTATTCTTAACCAGACCAGGCTAATATTGAATCCGTTCGATTATTTCCAGCTATACTAACTTCTAGCAATAAACATAACTGTTGTTGCGAATTTTTTAATTCCCTTTCGCATATCCGTACGAACGGACGGCGGATTCGCGTAGAATTCGTTTATTTTCTAACCGGTCTTGTTAAATCACGCGTTGCCATGTAGAACTTTCATTTCGCAAAAACCAACTGAAGCGAAGACGGATTTTACGTACAGACGCTAATAAGCTCTGCACGTGAACGTGCACACATCTGTAGATGAGCGTATAAGAAAAAAAAAACCCAATGATTATCGTAATAGCTGCATGAACGATTTCATTTTACATAGTAAGATCGAAATGCGCGTAATTATATTTATTTGAACACTCTGGCGGAAATTTTTTTACGAAATCTTGGAACTTCGTTGGCATTGCGTGATCGTTAAAATATTTTCGAATCATTCTATGTATGTAACACTTTTTTTTTGTAATACGACACTTGCAAACAAGCGTCAAACCAATGTAATGATTGTATCGTTACCAGGAAAAGTGGAAATGGACCAATCGTGCTTGAACATAACCTTATTTTTTTAAAGGAGCACCTTATTTGTCAAGTTCTTCGTCTGATTCTCCGAGTGTGAAACTTTTGCAGTCGTGAAATTGAAATTCGCTCGAACTTAAATGATCAACAATATTATGATAAACGTTGTAACAAATTCAACTAAATTTCAGCTAAATATTCGACTCATAAGGATGCGTAAGGATCGCCCAACGATGTACACGGTCGGTTTATCGAAAGAGAGACGAGCGCTGGGATTTTTCGGTCGAGAGGAAAGACGAGACGAGGCAAGATCACGGGGAAGAAGAATGCTCAGGTTAAAAATAGCAGCGCCTCATTTTCAAATAAAAAGTGATAAGCAACCTGCAGGATAACGATTAAGGAGAAGGGTGAAGAAGGGAGCGCGAGAGGGGGGGAGGGGACGAGAAAAAGGAACGTTACAGAGAGCAGGAATAGAAGAGGATGGCCAGATCCGCAAAATGGATCAAAAGAACGAACGGCTGGTTGGCGAAACGAAGATGTACAAAAGCAACCACGTCCGAACAGCTGGGCGGAGGGGAAAGGAAAAAGAGAGAAGAGAGATCCTTTGCCGATATCTTGGGCTCACTGGAACATAATACATCGGCTATAACCCGCGCATGGATGGTGGTCAAGCTTGGCTCGGTGTTGGTCGGGATGAAGGTGAGAAAACCGGTGGTGTGTATGTACAGAGGGTCTGGAAAGAGGACTCTCCCACCCCGTCTTACTTTTACCCGTGTGTTTTTTGCTTAGGTTCTGCTCGCTGTACGTACAATCAAGTGCATCTAGCTGCAGAACCGCCCGAGTGAACCTACCTGTTTCTATCTCCCGCCACGAGACCGCAGGCAGCATGTTCAAGGCGCAGATCTGATCGAAGCTGTCGTACGTAATCTCGACGCGTATTTTTCGATAGAAAGATAGTAATCGTATCGCGCGAAATCGGCCTCGGCAGGAGAATTTCGCGATAATATCGATCGCGTTTCAGGATCCGTGTGTTGTACGATACGCGGCGCGGCACGCGTAACGTAACGTATATATACGTATACACGTTCGTTCGAGGAAAATCGTGATGTAACGGAAACGATCCCTTACGAAAAATCTATCTGAATCTTATCGAGTTTCTTTCGCACGTAGTCCCGGCTAGTAGTTTCTATAGAAAATCTTTTTACATTTGCATGAGCAAACATATGCGTTTATGTAAGCGATGGAAATCGTTTATCGAGCATCGTGTCTGTCGTTTCGCGTTCTAACATTCTAACCAACATTCTAACCATCGATAGTTTCTTTCGTTTATTTTCAAATTTCATTCAATCGTTTTTTTCGGTACTTTAGATCGAAATGCGTCTGAAAATAGTAAAATAGCAAAACGTCATGCGCGAGAAAAAGCATGTGTTCATTTGTCGTCGTTCGTTTCCCTCTGGATATTACATAAACGTACGTATCAATGTAAAAACATTGTTTTCGCGTATTATACTTTGAATAATGTATACTGTAGTTTCTCGTCTTTCTTTTTTTTTTCCTTTGTGTCGTAGACACGATCGTCATCGATAGACATTATGTTTTGTTCGACACATACATACGGTTGTACAGTAGCTTGCAGAAATATTATCCACGTTACATGAAACATTCTGAATATTGCAACAACGCTCGATTATTAACCTACGAATGTTCACGACGACTATTCCTGTCGAAATTTCTGTTTCATCTAATACGATTGTTAAATCAATTCAAATTCATCAACGTAGAAAGATTTTTCTGCGAAACGCTTTCGCGAGTTGTTGTACAATGCGTTGTAAAATACGAAACCATGAAACCTTGAAACGCCTGTATAGTACAGAGACTAGGATGCCACTGTATACAAGACAGAGAAAGTTTTCTCGTAAGAGAGTTGAAATACTTTGGTACCATCCACGTTGGTACGCTAGAATTGAGATTCTGTATCGAAACGGTTGTCTGTCGGTAGCCAGCGCATGCAAAATGCCAGTTTCACGGATATCGGCCGACGTGATTTATTGGCTCGGCAGTTTGCAAAAACTATCGTGCGAACAATACGGATGCCACGATTTACGATGCCGCGATTTATGATGTTAACCATTTCGATTTGGTTTAAAGCCGAGGGCAACCTTCGGGTGTCCCTCCGCCTCCAGCTCGACTGCTGGACTGAAAGAAAAGGAAGAGGGAAAGGAACGAGTTCTTCGATGCCTGGGCGCACAGTCTAGTTCAAGACTCACGATGATAGTGAACGTCCCGTGAGGATTCCACCGACCGGGCTTGCCCTTCTCTCTACCTAAATAAGAATCCTAGTGTCACCGAGCGTCGTGGACCGGCCACCGGTTTGCACAGGTCGCGGAACCTCTACAGGTCAGTGCACGTTTCGGTTATTATCCCGGCACCGCCCTTGCCAAATCGTCCAGTATAATAACCACGAATTGTTCGGTACTCTTTACGTACTTCACAATTTTTTTTCTTCTACACTTATTTTTTTTTTTTTTTGCTTAATTTCAATCATTCATAACTTTAATATTTAAAAACTTCATCGTTGATAACGATAAATACCGCACATAAAAGACGATATTTCGCAGAATTTTTATCACGTCAATGAAACGCAATAATACGCGTATACTTTTAGTCGCGAATGTTTTTTTTTTTTATTAATTAATTTATTATTTATTAATTTTATTAATTTATTATTTAAATTAATTCAATTCGTTTGAATAAGCGGGAGATGGATTGATCGATTGCCAAAAAACACAAGATATACATAAAATCCTGTGGTTTTCATTGCGTTTCTTGTAACGTGAAACATCCTAAAATATCGTTACGTTGTTTTGAATCGTCTTACGAGACCTCGTAAAATTTCAAGTAGCCCGACGAACGTCGTGCTGAACGTCGATACGTGACGTTTTTTTTTTTCTTTCTCTTGAATTGCGTGTTGTTTCGAAAATACTGGATAAACATAAACACGCTAAATATTTCAAAATCATTTTATTCAACTGGGAATTGAAACTTGTTCACCATACCGCCAAAGTAAATAAGTAAATAATTCCTCATTTTTCCGTTTTATTTTTTTTTTTTTATTTAAATAAAAATTTCCCGAAATAATCTTCACGCTCTTCGTTACGTCGATAATCGAAGAATTATTTAACTTTGATATACAGGGTGGGTCAAAAGTTTCTTCCCCCCATTTTTTTTTTTTTTAATAAAGCATCAAAATGTAAGAAAAAATTAATTCTATTACTTTTTTTTAAAATTTAAGTTTAAGACACGATTTTTTCCCCATTATGTTTTAAAAATAATAATATGTAGAAAAGAAATTATGGATTTATTTTAGTAGAATAACCCTGTGATCATGAGATAAAGTTAGTTTTCTCAAGCAAATCAAGTAATAGATCGGTCTGAAGTCGTTATCTCTTACAATTAGTTTTATTTCGAATGAAATTCGCGGTCGTAGCATGCGAGAAACGTATGTCATTAAGGCACGAGCGCTCTTCTTGAGCTGCACGTAACGTGAATCTGCTCCGGGACACACGTGAAACTAAATCGTCGCTGAGAACTCGATGAGAAAAAGAAACTCGTACGAGCCGATTGCCTGAATATCATTATGAATGATTGAATTTGTACAAAAAGCAAGATGGAAAACGACCGTAAGCGTGCGTAAACAGTATTTTTATATTTCACATCCCGAAGGTCAAATTCGATATTCGACAGACCAATAAATCATCTTTATCTTTTTAGAAAATTGTAGAGGATCCGAGAAATTCCTACGACTATATTTTTCAGCGATAGAAATTCATAAATCAAGAAGCTGAAAAGAATATACACGAGTTACAAGAGTATGTGTATAAATTTTCTCCAAACAAAAGGATCGAGGATCGAAGTGATGAATTCATCTTTTATGGGCTCCGGTCTTCTTGCCATAAAAATGAGTCGTTTTCAAAAAATATATATATATATATATATATATATATATATATATATATATATATTTTTTTGCCAAAATAAAATGGAAGAATTCCAAGAAAAAGAAGAAAAAAAAAGAACCATCGAGTCGAACTATAAAATTGATGGATTAATTTCAGATCTGGCGTACTAAAGTCAATATTGAATCGTTCTCGCGCAATAATTGATCGATCAGCTTTCTCGCCAGCGTCCATGCATCGACACGTATTTACAGAAAGGCGATGTCGCCGTCATTTTCAAAAATAATATCCGGCAATTATCGACAATTAATACGTTTTACGCGTGTGAAATTCAAAATTTATTTCTGCACCTTGGTGGCATTGTAACTTTCAATGGAAACGAGATAAAATAGAGATGAGTGATGGCACAAAGATACCTCGTAGAGTACAGATGTTTGTTACCGAGGATAATTCTCAAGAGATCAAATTGCTTCTGTAAACAACAAAAATCAACGATCTCCCGCTGGCTAAACGCCAGATGGAAATGGAAAACCGTGGAGATACAATAACGTTAACGTTACGATAATAAGAAGTATCGATGACGCATCCTCTCACGCGGATACACGCGTTGCGTCTTCTCCCCCTCGGAGGAAAATCGTCTCCGCACGAGGAAAATTTTAATGCAAATGGTTGACTTGAATTATTCGACGATTATGATAATAAGCAGGCAAGTGTGTGACTAATAACTCAAGGGGAACGAGCGACGCTCGAGGCCCTTCAGGCGACCAGAAATTAATTTCCTTTTTGGAAAGGATTGCGAGTCGTTTCTAGAATTTTTCCTGGCGAGAGAAGTACCATAAAAAAAATCACGAAATAACAGCAGACGTTATTCAATTCAAATATACCCCATGCATCTTCGCTTCTTTTCTTTTGTTTCTTTTCGTCGATTGTTTTGTATCTTGAAATGAAATGAAATGAAATGATACATCGCACGTGATCCTTTCTCGTCGTTCTGTATTATCGTTGCGTTACTGTTGCGACGATTTCCTTTTTCCATTCAGCCCGCTCGTTTTCCTCAATTGAGTACCATTTCCGTTGTCGCGATATTTCTTTTTCTTTTTTTTTCTTTTTTTTTTTTTTTTTTTTACGACTCAAACAACTACCGCGGTTACTTCCAAGTCGGGCGTTTTCGCTACTGCGATATTTTTTTTTTTAATTACTCGATACCATCTCTCGCAATTCTTCTTTTTTTTTTTCAACAACTGACGTCACTTCTTATAGCTGCACCGTTTTAGATACTTTTCAGATGTACGTTTAATTACAATTATTTATCTCGTTATTATATGGTTTCCCGAACCAGAGGATCGAAGGGTCTTTCCTAATTTTTTTTCTTTTTTTTTTATACCAATTTATCACTTTCAATTACTTTTTATACCATTTATAACAATTATTTGTCTCATTACAATTTTTTTATTACCGTGATATCTCTTGTTCGTTAATGGTTTTCCGAACCGAGACGATCGAAGGATCGTCTTCCCTGGTAATTCGATTTTTTTTTTTCCTTTTTATACCCATACCGATTACCTGCGTCTCCGCATTTTTCCTTAATAGCCATCTTATAAACTCGCTATTTATTACAGTATCGTATGAATAACAAGACAAGTTAACAAGCCTGTTTGCCTGATTGATGCAATGAAAACCGTTTGTACTAACGATCCTCTAATTGTTTTAATGAGCAAGTATATATCTAGGGTTATTTTTGCTAACGCTAAACCCGCGGGGGTATTTATACGGCTATGATACGCAAAAGTGTATCGCAATGCAGCGAAATATCGAAAGCAGAGCGCGTAGTAGAAAATATACCGTTCAGAAAATAAATTTTCGTGGCTAGCAATTGAACAGATAAATTAGAAAGTGATGAAGAGCGATAATGCTATAAACATCGAGTCGCCATCATTTTGCAACGAGGAAAATGTTCTGAGTATTGAATATTTGAACATTGAGCTCTGAGAGCTGCTTCAGTGTCATTTCAATTGTAATTATTTTCCAGTTTTTTTAACCATTTGCCTTGGAATTGGAATTCTTTTTGTCCCAAAATTGTAATATTTATTTAGTTTTAAGTATATTTAAGTAAAACAAAACAAATAATAAACTACTAATAATAATTACTACTTCTCAATAATTTCTATTTCCAGTGATATGTCATACCGAGTTCAAAAAGAAAGCGACACGAATTATTTTATACGGTCTGGTCACTCGTTACGGTCCGCAATCAGTTGCCCGCGCAAGTGGTTGATATTCTCTGTGAATATCATGTTACCATTTTTGTTTCTTTTTTTTTTTTTTGCTTTAACTGCAACATCACATCGTCGATTTGCTCTTGACGTTTATAGCGCTCGTTGCCATTTTTTATGACAGTATTTTTCCTACTTGTTATCAGCATTTCCCCCGTTTGACGACGCTCGATATTTATCTATTCATTTGTTATTTATTATCATTTAATCGAGTCTCGACGTTTAACCACTTGCGCTGGCAACTGATTGCGGACCATAACGAGTGACCGAACCGTACACAATAATTTGTCGCTTTGAACTCGCCGTTATATGATATCACTGGATAGAAATTATTGAAAAGTAATAAATTTATTATTTGTTTTGCCCGAGTTATACTTCAATATACTTAAAACTGAGAAAATACTTGCAATTTTGGGACAAAAGAATTCTCGACGTGCGTGGCACGTCATTCCAGCGCTGGCAACTGATTGCGGACCATAACGAGTGACCGAACCGTACACAATAATTCGTCGCTTTCTTTTTGAACTCGCCGTTATATGATATCGCTGGATAGAAATTATTGAAAAGTAATAAATTTATTATCTGTTTTGCCTATTTTTGTTTTACTTAAATATATTTAAAACTGAGGAAATATTACAATTTTGGAATAAAAAATTCTCAACGTGCGTGGCACGTCATTCCAACGCAAGAGATTAATATCAATTTTATTGCAAAGTTATCTTTCGGGTTCTGGTCAGTTCTCGTGCAAGATGTGCTGGAGACAGCGACGAAGGAGAACGACAGAGAACTTCCCGAAAAAAAATACAGTCTTCAAAAAGTTTATTATAGACGCGTCTCGTTAACAGGTGGTTGTTCTCGCGATCGTTTTCGCAAAGGTCAAGTAACGTTAGAAAAAGAGAAACACACACGTGTATGTAGGAGGCAAGATACCTCCAGGCGATACGACGCACATACGTAAATATAAAAGTTACCGACGTGTTCAAGCTGGAACAGACCTCGAAGAATGCGAAGAACTTCTTAAATATCCGGATCTGTGCATCTCTTATATGGCTCTTTGCGCGAGAACAAGTCCTGCAGGTTGTACCGTACTCGGTTCTGCCGATATTGCTCAATACGGATATCTATAAATAGGCGGCTTCTTCACTTCGTTTTCGTCCACGGAA